CGCGCGCGCGCTTTAAACTTTCCTCGCCGCCACCACTCGGAGGAGGAGGAGGAGAAGGAGGAGTCTTTTTTTCCTCCGCATCCGGCATTCAGATCTCTTTTTCCCACGAATTCAACCGTTCGCCACTCTCCTGTTTATCTTGGACGAAACGAAATCTGCGTTTAAAAAAAACGGCTTCGCCGCCGTTTCGTTTTCGCGGTAAACGCCGCGATGCAAAGCCGGAAATAACAATAAGGGTAATAACGTAACGAGGCAACAAAAGGAAAGATAGAACAGAACAGATAAAGACTGCTGCATTCTATTAAGAAAGAGAGAGAGAGAGAGAGAGAGAGAGAAAGATGAGTCCGATTGTCGAGACAATAATAATAATAACAATAATACTTATAATAGAGGTAGGTGCGGCTGTGTAGCGAGTCGGAACCTTGAACGGGAGAAGATAAGGCCTCCGTGATTCGTTCTACGTTCCTTCAAGATGACGGTGTCTAATTTATTCAATGCCGGTACACGCAGGCCAGCGTTAAACTCTGCCTTCTCGTAGACTGGCTGGATTGGTAGTCGTGGATTGGTCGTTACTACGACGTGCAATATCCATCGTGCAATATCCATATATATATATATATACACACACACGTGTATAATGAATAATTCGAAGATTTTGATCGTGGAACGATATCGCGTGATTTGGTAATAAAGAAGCGGATGAGAAGAAGACGGCGTGCACGCGTGTCTCGTAGGAAACCGCAACGCGGCGCGTGCACCGGTGCAACGTGAGACGCGCACGGGAGGGAAATCGAGTTCGCCACAGGTACAAGTTCATCGTTGCACACGCGTCGCATCCTGTCATGCGTGCATTTTTCATCGTCTCGTGCGGCTGTCGCGGGGTGCGCCTTGAAGAATGCACGTCGCGGTGCACGCGACGCGCCACGCGCAACACGCCGCACCGACCGCTGTATTAACAAGAAAATTGCTCGTCGCATTCCTTGGACTTTTTTCCCTCCTCCCCCTTCTCCCTCGAATTCGACCTCCGCGATGTCCACTATTTTTCCAGGAGAATTTCTTGCGACTCGTTCGATTAAATGGATCCCCTCGTACGCTTGTTTTTTTCACGAGAAATTTACTATCACTCGTGGTTTTTTGGGGCTATGGAAAGATTGTTTTGAGCGGCTCGTTCGCGATGAATTTATCGTGCGAGATATCATTGCTTCAGAGATATTCTAATTTCTAAATGGATCTTCGTATTTTTTCACTCGTCGTTGTATTTGAATTTAAAGAAGGCGTGAATGATTTAATGGACTGGCTTCGTCGAATTTTCTATCGAATTGCGATAGAGGATGATAAAATTATTGATACAGCTTGGAGAATATAAAAAAAACATTTACCAGTAAATTGCATAACGAGTGTTACAATACTTGGACGAAGGTCAAGTGATTTATGAACTGGAAATATGCTTTTGTATTCACGACATTATTTTTCCAACTCGATGGACACATGTGTTGCTGCTGTATAGTGATTTTTTTCGAATCTTGGTTTTCTTGATTTTCCATCGAGTAATGAAAAATTGGAAAAAATATTTTCAAAAGTATCAAGAATATCGAAGTTTACAACAAGGAAGTAAATGAAACTAACTGGAAATACATAAGACTGGAAATATTGTATTTTTTTTAGAATACAGGAAAGTCTATAATACTACATTATTTCCACATACCACTAAGTAACTATTTTTAACTTAAAAAAAAAAAAAAAGGAATTCTTCTGTACTTATACCGCTCTCTCCAATTCAGGCATAACCTTTCCCCGATCTCACGATTAAAATTGAAAGCGAAAGATAAATGATTCCAATCCGAACTTGATATCCAACAAACCGTGACAAAAGATAAATCGTGAACAGGCGGAACGATTTTTAAACTCTTTCAAACCGATATAAAAAAAACTATATAACAATTATTACACGTTTCTTAACAATCCGTTTCACGAACAACTGGGTCCCCAAAATCCAAAAGGGGCCAACGATAAACAAAAGTCGGAATAGACGAGCGAACACGAGAGAGCGGCCTAATTAAGAAAAGGCATGGAATTGCCTCTCCCCCCTCCTACCGGACAGGTAGAGGTAAGGGACACACTCGCGGAAAATCCTGTGAACCTTCTCTCCACATAGGAGAGAATTTACGAGGTAGTCGTCTATCGTTGCTAATTCCTGCAAATATTTGCCGGGCAAGGATATAGGCGTGGGCGAAATGAATAGGCGTTGGAAGGACGCGGGGAGAGGAGAGGAGGGAGCGAAACAGAGAGAGAGAGAGAGAGTGAGTGAATGTATGCACGGGGATTTGAGCGAATGCGAAGGGACGACGAGGACGAGGACAAGGACGAAGACTAGTCGGCGAGAGAGAGCGGGTTCTTCTCTCCTTCACCGGTGCCACAGACGCTCCACAGACGCCCCACCGACGCCTTCGTTGACGTCGCCGAGGCTCCCGTCGACCGAGGCTGGAGTTTCACGCGGCAGAATGCACCGCGCCACGGCAAATTTCTAATCAGATTAGCGCGGATTAGCAAAGTTCGTTTGTTCTAATGAAATTCGTCTAAATTAACGTCGGAAGAGGGAGAGAGGAGCGCGCCGTCCTAGGAGGATGAGGAGGAGGAGGAGGAACATCTAGGTAAGGGTGGGTCGTGGATGAACCCACCCAAGAATCATCATCGTTTGTCTTTTTCCCTTCTTCCCCCCTCTATCCTCACTTCAATTTTTCCTCAATCCTCGAGAAATTCTCCAATTCTCTACGCATTCCTAACAAGCTATCTATCCTTCTATAAGTAAAAAAAGAATATCATTAACCGCAATCCTCCAATCTCTCCAATCGTCGTTCAACTTTTTCGCCTCGCAATTTTACGCTGTATAAGTTGCAATTGAGAGGAGGGGGGAAAGATCGGATTCGGGGGATGGAAGGGTTTTGCACGCGTTTGGAAGAGATCGGCAGGGTGGAAATGGCACGTGATGGCCGAGCGAGCGGCGGAACGGAGATGAAGAGGAAAAGAAAGGAGAGGAAGAGGAGAGGGAGTCGGGCACGCGCGTTAATTGTCGTGGAAACGGGCTCTCGCGCGAAAACACGAGGCACCTGTGAATCTGCGCNACGTAGGGGCACCACCACCACCACCGCCGCCGCCACCACCACCACCACCACCACCATCATCACCACCACGCGCGTGTAATCTAGGACACGCGGAGCCTCTCTCCACCTCTTTCGCACGCA